TATATCTATAACCATCAATAATTATGGATTATGTTTACATATACATCTATATATGTAGATAGCGTTCCCAAAAAAGATAGAAACGTGCTTCCAGGATTATAAAGAGGATCCTTCCAAAATTTTCTTCTAATTTCCAGCTTTCCATTTTTTTCTATCTATTAGGGGGGTGCAATTTACATATGCAAATAAGTGTATATATATATATACACAGTATGTACATGTGTATAGAGATGATTCAGGCTGCAACTTTCTCTGGCTCACTTCCATATACATGCATACATACATATACATATACATGTATATACATATATATAATATACACATATTTATATAATTAATGTGGTAAAATCATGTAAACTCAATAATGAACCATCCCCAAGTCATCACCATTTTTATGGCTGCGAAACATTTCCCTTCCCCAGTGATGATCGTTGGTTATGGCAAGTGCCGGGCCAAGGTTGCGCGTTTCGAACTCGGAAAACCTCTGGGTTTCCCGGGCTTCAAACACTCGCCCGAGCCGTGGCAGGCTCCGCAGTCCGAGGGTTCGAGCCTCAGGCTGAGGCTCCGGGGGAAATCTAGCGGAGCCAGAGAAAAACCATGGGATTTTCATGGGAATATACGGGGAATATAGCATGTTAACATATGTTAACTGGTGGGTGGTATACCCCTCTGAAAAATGATGGAGTGAGTAACAGTTGGGATTATGAACTTCCCAATATATGGAAAAAAATGTTCCAAAACAAAGCAGTTAACTATGGTTTATGGTATCTAGTTAATGGAATCTTAATGGAATGATCATGGGATGTACCCTCCGTTACCCTCCGGTAATGAAACACGGCAGTTGGAATCCCCTAGACTAGAAACGGATTGCTTCTAGCTGGGAAATAATCCATAAATAGGCAACTTTCGATTGCCACGTGTGATTACCGGAGGATAAACATAAAGAAACCATCATAAATACCTAGAAAGCCTAGTGTTTCGTTACTGTGTCATAAAAATCATCGCAACGAAATGCGGTTGCACAATGTCAGATTCTTGCAGGAACATTTCGGCAGGCAAGGAACAACAAATGGAGATAAGGTCAAAGAAGAAAACTGGTCGAACTTTGGCTACAGCATGCTGCTACAGCTAAGAGCTCCAGCTCTTAGCAAAGTTTTCAATCCCAGTTCCCCCCGGGCCCCTTTTTTGGCCCAGTAGCAGTTTCTCAATCAGAAGTTCCTGGCCCGGCAGCTGATCGTTTGAAGATGGAGGATCCGGAAACCCGGAAAATCCCCAATAAGCCCGAGGCTTCTCCGTTGAAAATGATCTGAATGCCCATTTGCTTCAAGGATTTCCCAGCAATCACCATCATTGATTACTTTGATTGTTGCTTAGTTAGATTTTTGCTTAGTTAAGTAAATACAAAATACATATATATATATAACTATATATATATATGATTTGTCAAATCTTATCCAATGATCTCCCCATGATCTCCCCATGATTTTCTTCGGAATTTCCCAATGATTTCGGACCTGCAACTCGAGGGCACGACTGGCCATTCTGGACCACGCGCTGGCCTTAGTCGTAGCGCTTAAGGAAGCGCGATGGCCGTTGTGGCTTAGCGACAAGCGTGGCTTGTAGAAAAATTGCTAGGGAAAACAATTAGCAAGTTTCTAAAAGGGATGATTTTGAATGGTGTGGTTCCGAAAGCTTCGTTTTGAAAACACTTGCACAGCACTTCCAAAAGGGGACAGTCACCCAACTGCCATGCAGAGAAATCAGTAGCACCACATAGCACCACATCATAGAGGACCATGTGCAGGGACATCCCACATATTTTTGGAGCAACTGTAATTCCAAGCCCGTGAGTAGTTATTTATAGCCGATCAGAGCCCAGCACTGTTTAACAACCACTCTCATTGGTGGCTTCAACCAAGGATCCAATGAAAGTCAATTGAGATCGTCATTTTAGTATCAGGGATAGAACAAAAAAATAGCAAAAAAAAGTTGAAACCACCACTACCCAGCAACTATACCCCCATACCTCTGGGTGATGTGCCAACTCCTGGCGTGTAACCTCCCAAAAGTTTTTGTTGCCTAAACCACCATGTTTCAACTCCAACAACCCCCAATCAACCACCACTTCTCCAATTTGCTAGTCCTAAACCACCACCACTTATAGTTGAGTCACGCTATGTCACGCTTATATCGCAGCAATTTGTGGGACCCCCAACACCAGCCCGCTTGGATGCACGCGCCATTTAGTAACTGGACATTAAATGATAATAAGGCATACCCTCCGGTAATCAAACGTGGCTGGCTGGAAAATCCCCGAACTAAATGGAGGTTTTATGTAGTGAGAAAATCATCTCTAAATAGTGGATTGTTCATTGCCATGTATGATTGCTGGAGGGTATATGACACTGAGTATCTCCCACATGAATAGGTGGCTTCTAACCACGGTGTAAGATGATTTCGAACCACTGACTGTTTACATGTGCATCACAGTTGGCAAGAGGGGAAAAACATGGAATATGCAACCATATTGTGAATCTGTTACATTTGGATTATGCCAGTTCTGCAGGGGTTGGCTATACATTATATCTATTTAATTGGATTTATGCATTCGTTTGTTTCTCTAATTGTAACAAGTTTTTTTTCATGGTGTCAAATGGGACCCCAGGGGTCCAAGAGTCAAAGAATACCACTCTTAACCCAGCCATTTTGGCTGGTTTTTGGTGGGAAGCATTTGGCCCCTTGGCGCCTCTGGCAATTTAAGATGGCTATGGTATACATGCCCCATGTTCTTTGGGAATTGACCTTCTAAAATGGCACGATTTTCCACTTCAAATCTGAAATTACCAGGAAGGGAAACATATGTCACAGGGTCGAACCATGGGATTTTCATGCTTGCTGATAGTGTGGTCATCGACAGGAGATGTTTGAAGCCTTCAAGGACTGATTCAACCATCCCTCAATATGGAAATACATATCAGAATCATATCCTATTTCTGCATGGATTGCATCCCCAGACGTCACAGGTGATTATCACAGGTAATTCTACTATTAATCATTGTAATATGGCAGTGTGTCAAAACCAATAGTACCCCTTTTGTTCACATCAAAATAGCTGGGTTAAAATGGATGTTCATCCCCCTAAAAATGGTATTTTCATAGGTATTGATCCATAGCCATATGGGAATATACTATACTTATATGTAGAATTACCATAATCACACATAATCATTATAGTATACACTATTTATAATAGTAGAATTACCATTGATAATTATACTATTTATATGTGTGATTCTGTGTGCCACTGGGGAAACCCTAAAAAACCATACCTTCCCCAGGTTTCCCCACCAAGCGCTTCGCCTTCTGTCGGGCCTCGTGCCGCGCCACCTCTTCCTGCCACCAGAAGAAAACTTCTGTAGAAAAGTACAATCCAATTCTAAAATAGTAATTCTGTGGTTATAATGGTTATTATCTATATAATTTGAAGTTGTTCATGTTGTTCCTACCTGTTCGTGGGGTTCCGTTGCTATTTTACTGGATACTTGCTTTAATAAGTGTAATATAATACAGGTATGTGTAATTGCGGGTAATTTTTGTTTACATCTGTGATTCATTCAACATATTCACAACAAAAAATAATCCCTCATAAGTTCATCAGGCCAGTTGCCTCAGAAATTCTCAATAAAGTCCCCTTAAAATGGGCTATCCGAGCGAAAACGTTTACATAGATGTGACAAAAGCCCGTGGTTCCCTTGGGAAAACTAATCTACAAATGGTGGGTTGTCCACATCTATGTTAGTTTACCTTAGGGTAATATAGAATCTGGGCAAATTTTCTACCCTCTGGTAATTTAACATAGCTATTGAAAATGGCCATAGAAATAGTGGATTTACCCATTGAAAATGGTGATTTTCCATAGTTATGTGAGTTTACCAGAGGGTAATGTTTCACTAACCTGAAATGAGGCCTCCCATGGCCTCCCATAGGGATGATTCTCCCTTGTGGAGCCCATGGTACCTCCCCCGCCCTGAGAAAGACATCCTGGAGCTCATGCTGCTCCAGTTCGATGGTTCTCCTACGATGTTCTCGCTTCTCCTGTTCCATCACAGCTGACTTCATGTGCTGGACCCCTTGTTTTTTTTACACATATGATCTGGGGGAGAGGAGAGAAAAAAACGACCTAACTTTTGCCATGGGTTTTTTGGACCTAAATTTAAATTGAGATTCAAAGATTGGGGTCTATCAGATATAGCTATCACATTGAGCCAAAGGGCCACGGCAACCTGGTGACCGTAGATAGATGGAACCGAAAAGCTGCCACCCCACAATTAGCGTAAAGTGTTTAAAAGGAAACCAGGAAACCCATCATTTTTGGGGGGGTTTCAAGCACTATTTCCTACAAATACGGCGTACATGTATGGGTAAAACTGACATGCAGCCTGGGGTGATTCACATCAAAACCCCAGCTAGATCCAAATAGGAAACACATCTTATCGCATCATATTCTCTTCAGCCACAAAGGGTACGGCTGACCTGGCATGGTTCAGGATCATATCTGCCAACCCTCCTGTCCCCTGGGAGTATCAGCCGGATCTTCCCATTGTTGGTGGACATCTCCAGTGCGAGATAGCAAGCTATCTGAAGATGACGTGATAGCGACAGGCTGCGAGGTGATGCGATATGATATCATATGATACTCGCACACATTTTGGTACGCAACATGTTTATGATAGTATCAGTATGTGTATATATACATATAATTACATATGCATAGTGTATGTGTGTGTGTGGCATACCGTATATTATATGTCCAACTGTCTGTGCGATTCTGTGTGCATGTGTGTGATGCACGTGCGTGTTTGTCTAAAGCCAGTATTTATTTGCACGTATAGACGGATAAAACATGATGAAAGAATGCTGTAGCCGCCGCCTTAGATCCTCGCCCCTGTTTATCATGAATTTTGTCCCTCGTTTTTCCGCCGGGGCTTCAGTTCAATCGTTCAATCATCTTGAAACTGCCACAGTGACATCCGCCCCAGCCCCAGCATCACCTCATCTTTTCGACGCCGCTCTTCCATCTCGTACCTGCCAAGAGATGGGGATGAGGCACTTGACAGGTCTGGAACCATCCCTGAAATAATGCCGGGCTCCAGTGGTAGAAACCGTCCGAAAAGTTGAGTTTTACTATGTTTTTCTATAGGTTTAACATGGTTTAACCCATTAAAAACCCTGGTTCACCCTGGATTCCTGGACAAGTCTTACAAGCTCGATCATCCTAATGCATATATAATGCTGGTAACAATTACAGATAAAGTGGTTCCTATCATCATATCTTAAATGTCTTAAATGATGCCTTGGGACACCAGACCTCTTCTGCAGGATCTCCATTTCGTCCACCCGCAAGCGTTCTTCCATCAGCACTGAAGCCTCCCATGGCTGAAATGCAGGCGTCCCCTGCACAATATTCGGCATATATAGTCATCCTGTAGATAGAATATGAACATGTCGAGGAGAACCTTCGCAAGAACAGCATGTCTTTGAAAATCTCATGTTCTAATATGGTCTACTTCAGAATGATTTATTACATATATATATATATGAGTGTGTGTGTGTGATGTTCCATACTTCCTTCTTTGCGAGAGAAAATCCAATTGACCTAAGAAACCAAGGTTTACTCAGAACAATTTTCTGTTCTTAGACCCGAACATGAACAAATCCACCACATTCAAGTCCACCAATGTTTCTGGGTATACTGATTCAAGTTTCTCACTCGGGGGAGAGGATTTCATATGATTTCGCTTGGATCCACCATAAGGATGTACGGATTATACTGTGGATGGTTGCGAAATCCCGCACCAGTTGATAGGTGGTAAACGTCCCATTTTTTTGGGGTTTCAACCATATCATATTATATCCCGTTTGTTCACTTACTTTGAGGATACTTTGAAGTAGTCAACATCCAAAAAATCATGTGCTATGGTCCCAGGAGTTCCCTACTTAAAAATTGCGACAACACGCTCTTCCCGTCGATTTTCCCTTTCTTCATTTGGGCCTTTGGGCCCGTGTCAGCTCACCATATCCAAAATTGCATGTGCGATGCAAGACGTTCTCTAATTTCTCTTCATCCAGACAACTCGGAAACACCAAGACAAAGACAAAGAGGTACAATTCGAGTGATTGGTTGTTTTTGAATGATTTAGATATGCCCCTCAACCACATCCTACAAGTGGTGGAATCTTGGAATTCTCCGCTGATGTTGGCTACTCAGAAAATTATGAATACTCTCTAGTAACCAAACATCGCCATGGAAAATCCAATATAAATGTGGTTTTACAAGGGAAAACATTAATTATCAGTGGGAATTTCAGGATCCTAAAATGGAGGTACGTTAGTACCATATGTTTGGCCATATTTTGTGGGGATATCCCCTTACATAGGCCTTATATAGGCCTTATGGTAGGTACCTCCAATCAATCGGTTCCTGAGTCATGGCCATTGATAAATGGAGGCTGTTCCATTGCCACGTTACCGTACTGAAGCTGGATCGCCAATTCCCGAAGCAGCGAAGCGTCGGGATAAATTTTATTCAGATATCCATATTTGATATATTGATGGCGAAGCACCCATGAAAAGTAAATTTTATGGATTGCTTATGATTATAATTATCATTGGCTATATTTAATCTGGTATTGAAACATTGATTATAAGTACCCATACTAATGTTTCATTACCCAATTAAATTCCCCCCCCCGGCAGTTCTCGCCTTCTTTTGCTTCCAGCGGCCATTCCAGCCCTGCAAGTCTCGCGAGAGCTCCTCAAAATCGCTGAGAGTTTTTTGAAAGACGGGGCAATGATGTATGATTCGCTGATCTTCAGAGAGAAAAACCATGATAAAACCATATAAAACCCATTTCTGTTGAATGTTCGATGAGATAAAATGGCTGGTTTTCTCGAGCACAGGGGAAGATATTGTTATTGATGTTTTTGTCAGATGCCAGTGACGATGGGTTTCCCGCATGGAATACATGGCTGACTCAAGCCATTGCGGGTACCAACGCTGCTAACAGTATCGCAAGGATGCTCTGCGACCAAACATATCCAAAGTCTTTGAAACCAGCATTCTACATGGTTTATAAAAGTATATACCATCTATGGAAATATATAGGTTGTATAAATTTGGTATATATATATATATATGTGTGTGTGTGCGTGATTTGTGTATATATATATCTATACCTATGCCATACATATGCCATATATATATGCCATATATATGCCATTTATAGATGGGATATGAATGATTTTGTTTTTTACACATGTATAATGCATCACATGTCATATCATGTCTTATCATGTTGCCCGTTTAACGATGGACGACTGTGGCCGGTCAGAATGCACCTCGAAGCTCGGCAGCTCGTCGCTCTTGGAAGGCGGTGTCTCATGCACCAAGCCTGGCGAAATGGTGAACTTTCCAAACGGTCCTTAGATATTTAAGATATGTAACTTTCAATGGATTGGTTTAAGGGAAAATTTACAGGAAACCATAGTTTTTACCATCAAATATAGGGTTTTCCTGTAAATTTTCCCATCATCCAATTCTATGTAACTTAGCAAAAATCTTATCATACTATGGTATGTAACTACGGTATGTGACTATGGTGTATATTAGGTAGTTCCATTCTATGGTGTATATAAGGTATGACTATGGTATGGAACTATGGTATATTGTATAGCTGTAAAACTATGGCATGTAACTATGATACATAACTATGATACAAAACTATGGCCCATAGAAATTGATGATTGATGATGTTTTTAAACATCAATAACCAACAAAAATTTGGGATTTAAGGTGATCTAAGCAACAACAATTGTGCTGTTTCATGGGAGTGGGATATAGTCAGAACTGGTTGATATGCACATTTGACAATTTGCTATGGTGTAAAGAGCCCATAGAAATATATGACAAAAATGATGATTTGTCTAATTGTTCTATTCAAAAACTGGTGATTTCCCCAAGAAGCGTCCTCTGGACAGCCCCGGGCCCACGGGCCCTACGGTACGGGCCCTCAAGGGCCCTGATGGGCCCGGGGCTCCCCAAGGGTCAATGGCCGATTTCCATAGCTACCTTAAATGATGGTAAGTATACGGCTTTGTTTAAAAATGGGGTATGCACTGGTTTAAGGCTATCTTCTCAATTCAAATGTCAAATGGCAAGTGTGGTATATACCACGCTGTGCCCCATGTTTACACCCACCTATATAGGATTTTCCCTTGCCGGGTTAGATTGGCAGAAAGTTCCACATTCTGACGCTTGATATGCCAATGGAGTGCTGGTAAGTCTCCATTGGCTGATGGTCAACCGGTGAAACTCAGTCAAATTCCCTTCTTGGATAGGTGCACCTCCTCTCTTATGCTCCATGGAATTTATACCTGGTTGGTTGATGGGACCGCCATGCCCATAAGTTTCCGATTGGGAGCTGATGAAATCCCCCCTGGTTCAAACCTGGGTGCCCCAAATGGATGGCCAGCATTGGCGGGTCTCAGTTTCTTGATCCATACCCGGTTATTCCAAAATGCTCAGAAACGCGCCACTGTTCTACAAAGAAGACCGTACTATGCAACGGACATACAACTACCTAGGTCCACTGCTCATATTGGACCGTGGTACGAAATGATATTTTTCACATTGGAAGCGCGTGCCATGTTAATAATTCCAATGGAAAAAATATGCAAAGATCAAAGAAGCTTTGAAACGCGTAGTTCCATTGGTGGAAATTTCTCATGCCTTTTTCCCATTCAAATTTCCTCATCAGACGTGCTTTCAGGCCGCCCCCAACTCTTAGTTTTCTTGCATGTTATCAATTTTTTGAATTCGCAGCAATAAGGGGAAATCTGTCCCATAGGAATTGCGTGGTTTCACACATTCCAGCTCTCAGGTGTTGAAAGAAACCTTTTTTTTGTGCCGAGCGTTTGGAAGTCACGTGGTTTTCAGCAATTTTTCAATAAAAAACAAATGGGGTCCAGATCCGTCGGGTTTTGTTATGATTGGTTTTTAGTATTAGTGGGGAAAAAAGAGAAAAAATGAGAAAAAATACGGAACAATGAGAAAAAAAATTGCATTTTGGTATTTCCATCATCCAGTTTTATTATTTATGTCTATTGATTGTCTTTTTATTTTTCTTTAGTATGTCCATCCCAGTCAAATATGTTCGTGTTTTTTATTAACAGCTTTTGTTTTGAAATATTTGAATTTAGATTCAATAATGAATGATGAAATGTAGTAATTAAATATGTTTTTTTACTTGACATCTTGCTTTTGAACAATAAAAAAGAAGCTGAAATTGAATAAATTGAATTTAAAGGAAAAATAAATAAAAGAAGAAACTGATATTTGAAACTGTTTTGTGATAGACAGGTAGGTTCATAAAAAAATATGAATCTATTTCTATATTGATACATTTTCATATTTTGATATATTGTTGTTTTTGCTATGTTTATAATTAGAATTTGTTTATAAATTTATATCTTTCGTTTCTGCAAAGGTACGGTAACACACCCGCCCACCCCTCACGCCCATGATGACATGACGCAAGTTCCAAGACAGCGTGCTGTAGCGTAGCGGCGTAGCATCATCTTCAAGAGGCAAGTGCCAGGTACGTTAACGCACCCGCCCGCCCCTCACCCCATGGTGTCATGACGCAAGTTCCAGGACAGCGTGCTGTAGCATAGCGGCGTAGCATCATCTTCAAGGCGCAAGTGCCGGGTACGTTAACGCACCCGCCCACCCCTCACCCCATGGTGACATGACGCAAATTGACGCAAGTTCCAAGACAACGTGCTGTAGCGTAGCGGCGTAGCATCATCTTCAAGAGGCAAGTGCCAGGTACGTTAACGCACCCGCCCACCCCTCACCCCATGGTGACATGACGCAAGTTCCAGGACAGCGTGCTGTAGCATAGCGGCGTAGCATCATCTTCAAGGCGCAAGTGCCAGGTACGTTAACGCACCCGCCCACCCCTCACCCCATGGTGACATGACGCAAATTGACGCAAGTTCCAAGACAACGTGCTGTAGCGTAGCGGCGTAGCATCATCTTCAAGAGGCAAGTGCCAGGTACGTTAACGCACCCGCCCACCCCTCACCCCATGGTGACATGACGCAAATTGAAGTTCCAAGACAAGGTGCTGTAGCGTAGCATCATCTTCAAGATGCAAGTGCCAGGTACGTTAACGCACCACCCCTCACCCCATGGTGACATGACGCAAGTTCCAAGACGACGTGCTGTAGCGTAGCGGCGTAGCATCATCTTCAAGAGGCAAGTGCCAGGTACGTTAACGCACCCGCCCACCCCTCACCCCATGGTGACATGACGCAAGTTCCAAGACAACGTGCTGTAGCGTAGCGGCGTAGCATCATCTTCAAGAGGCAAGTGCCAGGTATGTTAACGCACCCGCCCACCCCTCACCCCATGGTGTCATGACGCAAGTTCCAGGACAGCGTGCTGTAGCATAGCGGCGTAGCATCATCTTCAAGGCGCAAGTGCCAGGTACGTTAACGCACCCGCCCACCCCTCACCCCATGGTGACATGACGCAAATTGACGCAAGTTCCAAGACAACGTGCTGTAGCGTAGCATCATCTTCAAGACGCAAGTGCCAGGTACGTTAACGCACCACCCCTCACCCCATGGTGACATGACGCAAGTTCCAAGACGACGTGCTGTAGCGTAGCGGCGTAGCATCATCTTCAAGACGCAAGTGCCAGGTACGTTAACGCACCCGCCCACCCCTCACCCCATGGTGACATGACGCAAGTTCCAAGACAACGTGCTGTAGCGTAGCGGCGTAGCATCATCTTCAAGACGCAAGTGCCAGGTACGTCAACGCACCCGCCCACCCCTCACCCCATGGTGACATGACGCAAACTCCAAGCGAACGAGTCAACTTCAACAGAAGAAAGCAAAAATGCAGTAAAAAAAACCACGGGCTGTTTCGGGCGGTGGTCCAACTACCTGGCCTCAGACAAACCTGTCTACAACAAGTTGTTTGCCTTCACAAGCACGTGAAAAAACGTGTACATAGAATCAGCGTCCCCAACCCCAACATACCTCGTTAAACCTCATCCTCGATGTTTCAAACTAAAGATCTACTAGTCCCACCAGAAAAATGCAACCTCTCCATGAACAACATGACCCTGGCAGATCACAAGACATGACCCTGGCACCCTAAAAAGCTGTAGAAAATGAGCGCTATAGTTGAATGCTGACTTGCAGAAACCTATTTATTGATACTCTTAAGCCCAATATCCATCATTGGTAGATGATATTTCCAATATTGATTCCCATGAGTGATTGAGCTTGGCTGAATTACAATAGTTGACTATTCTGAAAAATATTGGGCCATTTGGGGGTTTCAGTCGACTCTAGAGTGACGCAAAACGATGTGACGTCCAAAAAAAAACATCCAGAAATCTGATTGGTCCCATATATATCATATATTTCATCCTGCAGTGAGGTCATGATATTCCCATGTGATCCGTCCCGGTCCCCCGTTCGGTCCCCATGGGAAATCTCAACCGCGCCTCGCTGCAGGCTGACCCGCCGCAGGTTGCGAGAGGCACCCCCCAGTTGCCAGGAGCCTGATTTGGGATGTGGATTTAATGCTTCATCCCATGTTTATTGCTAAAATATGCTAAAATGTGATGAAAAAATTATGATGTTTTATGATGGATTTCTAAAATGGTTCATGTTGAATGATGAACCGACCATGGATGTTCATGGAAATTTCAATAGGATCTGAATGTGATTTAATGCTCAATAATGATAGTATGATGGTGGGATGATTTACCCTCTGGTCATCAGCTCCGCGGCTGGAAAATCACCCATTTCGTGACTTTTCCAGCTGTAAACCTCCGATGGTTCAGGGAATTCCCAGCCAGCTACGTTTGATGACCGGAGGCTAGCAGCTAGCTGGAAATTGTGTTGGAAATGGATGGAAATGATGGATACTTCTTGAACTATCCCTTTTTGCACTAGCAGTGGGCCACTAACCCAAGGTACGAGTACTTCATTCATGGAAGTTCCAACGCCGGAAAAAAAATTTGGGAGGTTGCCGCCAAAAAATCGAAAAGGTGTCCAGCTTTTTGTATATCTCTTTGGAGGGGGTGGCTAAACGGCTAAACCTGAAAATGTTGGGCTTGTTGAAATCGCCCAGTTTCCTTTTCGTTTCAATCTCTTCCAAGGGCTCAAGTGGATGTATGTCAGAGTAACCCACATCTATGGGAATTGCAGAGCCTACACCATGAAGCCTGGAAACCCTTCGGTATCAACGGACCTAGCAATTTTGAGTGCAATCCATCCATCCATTGAAGGCCATGGTGGCCATCGTCATCCTCACTTTTTTAAAAAAAATCAGCAGGTTTACAACCCTCCGCGAGGATCTTTGCTTAGGTAGGTGTCGCTATTTGATTTTGTCCATATGGAGGTTTCCTGAAATGGGGGTTACCCCTGAATCACCCATTTTACTCGGATTTTTCCATTAGTTAAAAATGTTAAAACCAACCATTTTGGGGATCCTCCATTTATGGAAACCCCCATATGGGTCAACACGGCCAATTTACGACGAACCCTCTGGTCAGCAACATGGGGCCTCCTCCCAATGGACTGGAGGTCGAAGAATCTGCCAAAAAGAGACGTTCCCCAGAGTTTGGATAGCGGGACATGTGGCATATGTGGTTTAAAAAAACATTAAAAAAACAGGACCTAACAACATGTGGTATGGCTATATCCATCCCAGTGTCCATGGCAAGAGCCAAGACATCAACCCCTGCTGAGCTTCATGGACCCCCAAATCCTGGACCAAACGGCTTTCAGTTGGATTCACTTCTTTTCTTATCAAGCCCCCAAACCGTCCCCCGCACATGGGTTTGTCCAAAAAATGAGCACCCCAAAAATCAAACGGTTCAAAATCACCATGGGGGCACAGTTCCCCCAATAGGTGGTTATACAATCATACTTATAGGGGCCTACATCCCAACAAACATGAGGCTT